CAATACTGTGGCCGCTAATACAACTTAAAAACGTCAGTCCAAATGACTATTTTAGTGAAAGTTTTTCTCCCTCTTTTTTTATCAATAAAATGTTTAATTTTTATTTATTAAAAAATTTAATTATATTTAATAAATAAATTTTGATAATTTAAAAATACATAAATTTTCGTTTGTCCTACTGATGTTTTGTTGTTTTGCTCCCTAACAATGATTCCTAAAATTGTTTTGCCTCCTCTCTTTCTTAGAGGATGTGTTATTTTTTATTTATTAAAAAATTTAATTATATTCAATAAATAATTTTTGGTCATTTAAAAATACTTAAATTTGGAGCATATCAAACTTTAAAAATTGAAAATGCATACATATAATTAATTTTAATTTTATCATATAATTTTAAATGCATACATAAAATAAAAATAAAATTTTATTTTTAATGTTGATTATGTCAACATTAATGTTTGTTAAGCTGTGCAAAAATATAAGTTATTCAGAACATATAAATATAAAAAAAGGATGTCAATAACGTGGTTGATATTCAAAACAACATAAAGGATTATCGAATACACATAAACATGATGAGATAAAAGTGTCAGACACTTCATCTTCAAAATCAGAGAAATCATAAAGTTCAGAATCATAAACAAGTAACGGATTCTCTAAAATTTCAATTTTGGCATATTCAGGATTAAAATGCTCTATTTTCGCATAATTGAGTGCATGGAAATGATCAAGACGACGCTGCATTTGATCATTTTTATGTTCACGCCTTGATATGACATCGTCATGATTGTTTGAATTCTGTGAATTGTAAATATCAACCGAATGTGCCTTTGGTACCGCAATTCCATGTCAACGACAAAATACTTCAAGGTCACAACATTTGTCATATAATTATCGCCATCTTGGTGTGGGTTCGATATTAACACCTGAAGGTGGATAATCAATTGCAAGCCCAACAATTACATATCCAGCTTGTCCAAATAGGTGATAAAGGACAATGAGCTCATTGCCGAATGCATGCTTTTGTCCATACCACGTTACACCACTGGAATTAGTATATGATTCGACAGAAGGAACTTTGTTCAGTGATGTTGAGCTATTTGTTGAGCGTTCACGTTTGTTACCTAAAAATGAACTATTTTGGTTATTGCATGACGAAGAACTTGTATGTGATGTGCTCTTATACATTTTGTTTGGTGGTGATGGTGCATTTACACAATTGTGAATGGTAGTATATATGCTCGATTTGGCAATTTAAAATTGCAGTGAAAGGACATCAAACTGCAAATTTTGGAACTAATTTGACAATGATGCCAAGTAACAATGAAAAAGTTGGTATATGACAATACACTGCATAGACTGATAAAGCCACGAGATAGATTAAAATAAATAAGACATCACACTGCAAAGTTCAGAACTGATTTGACCATGACAGGATGTGATAATGAAAAAATTGAAATATGATAACACACTGAATAAACTGAGAAAGCCACAATATTGATTAAAGTAAATAAGACGTAGACATAAACGTTATATGCTTAATAAGGTGGACACTAATTATATTTGTTAATTTTTATCAGATATATACTCATCTGATATGTATTGTTTATTAGACAATACATTAGATCGCTCAGTACCTGTTAACTCCCTGCCAAATATAGTTGGCACCATGTCAAATGCTATTTGGAGCATATAATATCGGCACTTACACAACATTATCCTATTATTCTCATTTCGTACACGTTTAACTATTGCTTCATAGTTCACTATATTCCTTCGCAGGCATGGTAAGTGAAAGTGTATGTGGCACCAGTATGCCAAGTTATCTCAGATTAGTGCATAATGACTGTGATTCATTAGCATGAAAAGCCCACTCTCGACGGAGTCCGGCATAATAATCCTTTGGATCAAAAAATCTATCACTTTTCTAATCATTATCTCGCTCTTGTAATAACCATACTAGTTCATGCCTACGGTTGTTATCACTTGCTCATGCTCTTGAAATAGACATAATGTGCAATACATGTGATATGAACCACCCTATATTATGTTTTTATAGTGGTTTTCATTTTCTGAAATAAGTACATTTGTAAGCATTGCAGTAGTGTGTAGTCACCTTTATGTTTGAGTTAATGGTCAAACATTAAAAAAAATTGTGCAGTAAGTGTGACTACACACAATTACCTGTCAGCGTAACCAGACACTAGTATGTAGTGACTATGACTGCACACTGAGACATGTACTACATTGATTTTAATAGACTCTAATTCATCCTACGTTATAGTGATTCACGTCCGTGATAAGTTTAACAGTATTAGGGTTTGTGGCTATTAACTACTGTGTAGTCACAAGATGTTGATTGTGACTAAACATCAACGCATTGAAGTGCAATGTAGGGTCTTCATTAACATGTGTTGCTGAATAAGAAACAATTACAATGATTGACAATTACATCATTGTCAGTCGTTGTGACAACACACTGAGTTAGTGTGACTAAACACTAATTAAATGCCAGTATGTGTGACTACACACTGGTTCAATGTCAACAAGTGTGACTAAATATTATTTTGTAGTCAGTGTGTGTGACTACACAATATTGTATTGTCATTCATTTAGGTTGTAGACTAGCATACTCACATAAATAAATTGTCTATAAGTTTGAACTCATGTGCATTGTTCAATGTATAGAATTCATCTCTAACCATGAATTTTAGTCTGAGAACCCTGTTTCAAACTCTAGGTTATCATTGGGCTTTAGAGGATGAGTTCTTTTACCCAACGAATCCTCGTTTATACTATTCATTAACAGCTACAAACACAATGATGGCGGAATGACAATATCGCTTGACAGAAAGAGAAAATCTAAGCTTAGATTTACGTTCTTGCAACATAAGAAGGTCTCAACAAGTTGTCATTGCTATGTCTATTACCACTCCTCAAGAATAAGAGAGAACATTGTTTCGCATTCGAGTTGAGAACAATCGAATGACAATTCGTTACAATCGGTACAACTTGCGTCGTATTGCAAGCAACTGTGCTACAGAAGGGAGGATGCAAGAAGAAATTTTAAGCTACTAATTGAGTGATGAAGATGGACGTATTTCTGATCATTACCTATCTAACGAAGATGAAGACCCATGAAGAACTGTCATGCAAATCCTATGTTGTAACATTTACACTTTGGTCGTCGTACTTGTGTTTGCAATATGTTTATGTATTATATTTCTGTATTTTGTTTCTATGAAATATGGTGTACTACTCCAGTTAGTATTGTCCATCTAAATTTTAATAATTTATGTTATGTTATTCAACAAACGTTGGTTAGAGTGTTGGATAACTAATCTAAAAGGCAGTAATGAAATAACATTATATGAAACTATGAACTCAAAGAGTTTTTATATACAACAACAATAGTCACAAATTTTATACAAAAAAAAAACGTAAAAAATGAACTACATCCCACAAGGTGGTAGTCTCCTCTATAGCTTGGGCCGCTGACCATTAGGCAAAGCAAGTATATCTTGAGTGATTCCACCATCCATTGGATAATGTGTATGGTGGGTATGACGACCGACTCCATGCCTATCTTTGCCTCGACCTCTGTGTGACACTGATGGCTCCTGTATAACCCCCTCAGCTGGAACCTCAGCATCATCGGAACAGTCCTCGTATAGAATAGGAGAAGTAGGTCGTGTGGGCATAGGTGGAACAATATGTGGAATACATGCCTCCACATGTGGAAGTGATGTATCTGTTTGGTCTAGTGTAGGTGACATATTTGTTGTACCAACTAGCTTTGGTGAAGGTGTGAATGGAGTCGCCGATGCATCAACAAGTGGTGAGGTCAGTGGTGGTCCACATGATGTAACCGTTGGAAGATCAAGCGGTGATGTAGCGGCATAGTGAGCGGCTGGTGTAGGAATGTAGGAATCAGCAGCTAGGACAATAGAGGTTGATTGACAATCTACAGTAGTTTAGGGAAAATATGCAACCGATGGGCCTACCTTTGATGAAGTCGGAGCAGTATCCACGACCGGTGCAGATGTCTACCCATGTGTGCATGCAATTGCCCGTCGAGGAATGTGTACAACACGCTGTTGTGCATGCACTAGGGTTGCAACAACTAGCTGCTGAATGTTTGTCGGAGGTTGTACAAGTCTTCGGTGCTTAGAAAGAGCTGACAAACACTTGTAGCTTAGATCCCCCATCTGGTTGATGGCCACCAAACATGTCCATAAATCAGGCTCGCCACTAACAGTATCACGTGCTGCATGATATACCTGTGTCAGTGTCTATTCCTATAGCACTATAAAATAAAGATTTAAAACAAGATTACATAATTTTTGTACCACATTTAATTTATCTACCAAGTAAACAACACATCCCAACAGCTCAATGATACTACTAGCGGGCTGAAAACCAATGTCAGGACGTGACATCGGTGGTCCAATAAGTAGACGAGTAATGCGCCGATACCACTCCATGTAGGGATTGGTGACATCCATCATGTCGAGCGTAGGCTCGTCATGAACAATAGAATCCTGCCGCTTATCCCACATGCTGATGTACCTCTAATGTGAGATTATCTAGTCATAACCATGTCTACCATGCCTATTTGTGGCATGCGGCTCCCAACTGGAATCACACGACGTTGGTATAGGCTGCCTACATCCAAACTGTCACATAATACGTTTTAAAAAATACCACTCCACCACATCAAAACACATGAGCAGGGCTCGGGTAGTCCATAATTTTTGACTACGCAAGCAATAATCAGGTAGGCTGGCCAACACATCAGCAGTGAAAGGCTGTCATATCATCTATAGTATAAGAATAATGACTTTTTGTTAGATGTACAAAAAAATTAAAAATTTTGGTAGAGTTTCCCCTATATGTATGACCCCAAATTTTTTTAAAAAAACACCTAGTGCATGTTATAATGCATACATACACTAACAACAACTCAAATAAATGTCACTACCATCCAACAATTATACAAAAAACTACCAATCATACAACACATCCAATAACTCACCAATGAATAATGACCGATCATTTGCTGTGCATCAAACATCAAACCAACAATAGAATCCACAAGTAAATTTGGCAGTTAACAAACAATAATAAGACCAGCGATTGTTTGTATACCTGCTCATTGCGTATCTGATCAAGCTGATCTTTGTAATGTTTGAGTACATGGGTAGGTGTGTGTTGCTTAGAAAATGCAACATTCCAGACTCATCCATTACCTGCATTCCCATGGGAGTTGAACATTCACCCGTCACCCTGGAAGTTGGACATTCCTCCATCTCCACATACAAAACAACACTAGCAATGTTAGGGTTGTCAAGTACCACATTAACCATTGAAGTCACTAGTTCATCGTTGTCTATTTTCAGACCAACATATGTATTCATGATTGGTCCTATTCCAAGTGTAAAATGATATCTACAAGTCAACTTCAACTTGTTATGTGCCCTGTCCAACCCTATTACAGTGTAAATTTTACTCAACAACTTCAGCAGTTGTGCACCACTATTGATAACAATTTCACCTTTGGGAGGACAACTGTATGATAAACCCTCCGATCCATATTCCATTCGTCCGCCCCAATATAGCAAAATGGTAACTTGTTTTTCCATCATTTCAATTAGTTTCCGTTGTGGAATAAGTTTTGAATTCAGAAGAACCTGGGAATAGATAGAAACAATTAATACTTGAGGAATAATAGACCAATAGTTAATCACAGTCCCATGTGAATCTACCGCATGCGACCTAGAAGAATTGATCAATTAAGAAACCTACGAGGATAAAATGTAATTGTATGATACTAAGAAAGATGGAGATCCAACCTTTATATGGAAGTTTGAAAAAATAATCCCTAAAAATGGGTATCTCCTAACATGTTATCATGTATAGAATCAGAAATGAAACATGTTATCAAGAAGACAAACAATTTAGCTGTTTTTTTTGGCTAACAAGGCAGTAATTGATTTACATTTACAACTCTATCGTAATTATCAAAACTATCCAACTCAAGGATGACAATACTGGAGTAACTTGATTAATTCAAAATTAACATGCTTATTTTGAAATAAATGTGGTGTTTGATGCCTAAGAGCAATAACTACTGAACTTCGATTAAGATTGAGAGAGACAGACATGGAATATAGTTAATATGATTTTTTTTATTCTTTTAAATTAAATTTTTGCTTTGTACAGATGTTGAATTAGAAAGGACTTACTTGAAATCTAGAAACAAATATCACAACTTTGAATTCATTGTTGGTTTCCAAGTAACATGTAGAGAACCTACAAATTTCAGGGGATTTGAGTGTAATTTACTAACGAATATACTAACGAACATTGATGACAGATGTCTAAGTGTTAGGCATATACAAATCTTAGGGGGTCTGTGTATAATATTTCAAATGTCAGGAGGTCTGAATAATTAAATGACAAACCTCAAAGGGTTTGAGTGTAATTCTCCCTAAAAAATAATAATGTTTATAGTTGAGACCCAATCAATTAAATAAGCTTCTAAAATTAATCTAGATTGAACCTAAAATCCATAAATGTAAATCCAAATTCTAAGCTCAACTCGGTTGTATCCAATCACAAGCCCAATTTAATTAAACAAACTTCTAAAATTAAGGGTAATTTGAAGGCCGGTACACAATATATCACTTAATTTTATAAAAGTCATTCAGGAAAAATGTTTTGTACAGCGGTCCATTATTTTTGTGAATATAAAATATACCCCCAGGGTAATACTAATCGGTGTAATCTCATGGGTTTACAAATGGCCAAAACTCAAGTATCATTTCCACGAAATCCGGCCACTAAGATATTGTACAAAAGAGGGTGTTTGAAATTCAAATAAAAATGTTATAAAATTCATGAGATTTCAACCAAATCAAAAACACAAACAATCGATGACACACACCATTCTTGTGCTTAGAGTTTTTGTTCATCTATTCATATCAAATTTAGGACACACTAAAGATGTATGTTACCTTGTGCAAAGATTCACAACTGAGAATGTGAAATCCAAGAAAAAGAAGGCAAATGAGGTTCTTATAAAAATGCATAATTGAGAGTGGTGAAGCTTTATCTAATGTAATATTCATGTCCTTGTTTCTAGATTACCAAGGGACGGCGATGAAATAATGACCCAGTGTAATGAAAACGGTTTTGAGGGATCATTGCCCCAATAGAATCTCTAATGTGTGAAGTACACTGATATCCCTAGGGTTCTGGTGAAGTGACATGGAAATCCTTTAACATTTGACAAATACGACACAAAAGCTCCTTATTGAGTTTTTTTTTTCCCAGTAAGTAGCTCCCTTATAGAGTTACTAAAAAGTTTTTAATGAAATATCCCTTTCATTAATTTAAATATGTTAAAACTTTGTAAATAAACAAAAACAGTGGCAACCACCAATCACCCAACAACCACCACCAGCCACCTAACCACCACTAATTTAACATACAATTAAATTAACAGAGAATTTATATTAACGTTATATTAAATTAACAGAAAATTTATATTAACATTAAATTAAATTAAAATTATTATTTAACAGATAATTACAACAAATAAAATTAACTAACTAATAGTATAATGGTAATGAAGTACACTTACCTACTGTCAATGGTGGAAGAGCAGCAGCAAAGGTGGAGCAGATTTGGCCGTTGGGTGGTGGTGATCGCTAATGGTTCGCCTGAAGGAGGTATAGATGGGTTTTAGGTGGTGGTGGGTTTTGGTGGCGATGAGATGGGGCTTGGGTGCTCATTGGTTGCAATTTCGGTGGTGGTGGTCGTTGGTGTAGATGGGTTGCAACTTGGGTGTAAATGGGTTGCACCTTGTAGTGGAGAAAGCTTGGGTGTAGATGGGTTGCAATTTCGCTGGTGTAGCTTCGGTCACAGCTGATTTGCCTGAATGATGTTAGGGCACAGATAATTTGGGGGAAGAAGAAAATAAAGGAGAAGGAAAGAAGAGGGAATGTAAATAGATTTCGAACAAGCTAAAAATGTAAGTCCAATTGACGTTTTCCATGAAGGAAATAAAGGAGAAGGAAAGAAGAGGAAAAGTAAATAGATTTCGGACAAGCTAAAAATGTAAGTCCAATTGACAAATTGGACTTACATTTTTAGCTTGTATGAATGACCTACAGTGTTTTCAAAAGATGTTAGTTATCCTAAAAACGTCATTCCAACTGACGTTTTTAAAATAGTTAGGATTTGGAAAATACTTTCAAACTAATCCTCTTTTGTGAAATTTTTTTCAAAACCTCTTGGGTTGGGGTAAAAGCTCTTTTTTTAGGTCACCCGACCTTGTAGCTATTAAATATCAAAATATCGCAAAAATCATTTTGACTATTACTGAATTTATTGTTATGGATAAATAGGTATGTAATTAGAGTATATGAAACTGTATCAAGTCTCTTTTCCAAAAAAAAAAAAAACTATACCAAGTCTAACTTATACACTAATAGAATTGAACTTACATCTATATATTATTATATGCAACTTAATCAAAATAGAAAGTAAGCAAAATCAATGCACTTACAGTGACGTAGATCTACATGAACAATAAAATAAGAAAACCAGAATATTCAGTCCGAGCCTTATAAAACAAAATGTCCTTAAGACAAATTTGTTCTCTCTCAGTGCTCAAGGTTGATGAGCAACTACCTCTTAAGATATAAAATATTACGTCTTTATAAAAGTAGCACTTCAATCTCCAAAGATGAGCGAATACAACTTGTGTTTTATACCTGAACTGAACCAAAGGAACAATGCAACAATATGCACACACACACACACAGAGAGAGAGAGATTCTGAAACTGAAATTCAGAATTAGGATGGATTGAAATTACACTGAAGCAGTCTATTTATAGACACTCCATTCCTATTCTAATCACCTGAAGAGTCACAAGACTCCTCTGTTCGGATTAAAGAGACATACCCTCAGATCTGTCCGATTGGACTTTTAAATTTAACAGGCAAAAAAATTAGAATCCGATTGGACTTTTAAATTTCTGTTGAAATATGATCCACGTTCAAATTTGTTTAGTTCAACTCATAGTCCGCACCGCATCAAATAAACTTTGTCTAAAAAGACTATAGGTTTTTAACCCAAGCCCAAGCCCCGGCTCGGTCGTGGTGAGTAGGTGGACACACGTATGGTGACCAAGGTAGTGTACGAAGTGTTGGTTTTTTTTCAATGTGGGACAAACCTTATTCCACTACACCTATCTTAATTTATTTAATCACTTCAAATGAGTCACTTTGAGACATAATTTCTCATTCAATATTTAATAGTTTTAGATAAATAAATATATGACATTCATCTCCTTGAGGAGAAGAACGCATTTAGACTTGGTCCCACCAATTTTGATGTGTGGGTCCTACTTTTATTTAAGCCTCAAATTGCTCTAATAATCTTGTTTAAAACTATTTTTCCAACATTTATGTGTAGGTATCAATTATTACCACTCATGACTCACGTATTATGCATGAGCAATTGACTCGATTGTATATAATTCAATTTCTTTGATTAATTTATTTGAGTTGCAAGTGACTCATGTACGTTACATATCTTATTACATGTATTCAAGTGGACAGGCCCTTTTGTGATCCACTTAGTTTATCCAATTGGATCCGTGGATGCGGAAAATCCAATGAATGGCTAGAGTTTCAAGGTCAATGGTCAACAATTGAAGTCATTCTTGGAGAGTTTTCCTTTGGACGAGTCTGTCGAAGAGTTTGTTGACCCTTTTTATCGAGATCACCCTACTGGATGATTTCTTTGCCACCTAACTTGTTGTACATTAGTTAGATAGTTGTTTTCGTTATATATTCTTTGATAGTTCCTTTTATTTTTGGTTTTGCAGTATTTTTCTTTTTGGAGTTGCTTTTCAAGTGACCTCGTTCCCTTATTTATTTTCATTTTTCTCGTTGCATATGGTTATTTCTATTACAATAAGGACAATGCTTAATTCTAGTTGAGGGTGAGGGTTTGCACCCCTTTTTGTTTCTTTTTTTTTTTTTGCTTGCTTTTTGTTTACTTGTTTTGTTTGTTGCTCCTATAAGAAAATGACAAAAAAAAAAAATATGTTTTAGCTATTTTGAATGTATTAATATTTTATTTTACAATTCTTTGAAACTATGATATTTTGATTGAAATTTGAATAGATTTGCATATTAGCTAATGGATGGAATTTATTCTATTCTTGAGTATCATGCTTGCTTTGCCATTAGGAACTCTACTTTACGTACACTATTGTCAGTTAATTCTTACAATCTACTAGGTTGAATTCTTGTCTTAAAGGCTTCTCATGTATAGTGGAGATGAATATATTACCCTGTGAGTTTAGAGCTTATCTTGTTGGAAGGTTATATTACATTTACTCATGAATAGTTCTTTCATAGCTAATTCTTTCAATAATAGAATTATATTTTTTTTGGTTAGAGTATAAGGAATGATTAGTTGGTTGTATCCATATTAATTAATAATTTGCCATTGTTTTTGAAAAATGATTTTAGGCCATCTTTTGATTGAATTTTGAGTCTTAGCTTGTTTCTTTGTAATAAATTTTTCCTTCGCAACCATGATTGAGCCAAAAATGAATGTTCGATTCTTAGCCATGAATAATAGCCAAGCCAGTCATAAAAGAAAAAAATATCTTACCTTGGTTATCCCTAAAATTGCTATACTTTTATCAACAAAGTTGTGAAATTTATGGTATATGCTCAAAATGCATGGAATTGGAAAAAAAAAAAGGAGAAAAGATGAAAGAAGCAGAAAAATGCTTGAAGTTTGAAGTTTCAAGATGTAAAGAAAAAAAACATGGAAAAGCCAAAGGCCGAGAAGAAGTAAAAAAGTGAGTGAAGTGATAACAATAGAAAAGAAGAGATTCAAATGTCAAAATAAAGCAAATTGTCTTGGGATAACTCTTTTGAATTTCTTAATCCTTTGTTTCTTTTACCTCTTACCCTTGACCCCATTATAACCTTGATGAAGAACTGATTGATTTTGAGAATGATGGTAAGTAATATGTTGGATTTGATAAAGGGATACACTGCTTGCATTGTTCTTATTGCTTTAGTATTCTTTCATCAGATAATGTTAAGTTGATTTGTTTCATAGTGTCTTTCATTGTATGAAAATAAGTGAGATATATTTGTGTTGTTAACATTGATTCTGCTCACATGTACCTTGAGTGAAACAATCATTATAGTCAAAGATTTTTATTCTAAGTGATATCTTGGTGAGAATTGCATCAAAGCTAGTTTTGGATAGCTCATAGGGATGGGTATTTGGTTTGGTAGATTTCTTGAATTAATTGGTATCACGCACATACGAGTTTTTGATAATAAAGTGTGTGTGAATACTCTTGCACAACATATAGGCCTAATAATAGCTATGTATGAATTGGTTTGAGTTTAATTGGCATATTGAGGTTTCCATTGATGATTAGAGAAGAATAGAGTGTTTGAAATAGTTAATGTGGAGAAGTTTGTTGGTGTCTTTGCTGAAAACCTTTACGATGTAAAACTCGTCCACTGGGGATCACCAAGGGGTTTAAAGGCTTATTGCATAGGCTAAATGTAATCATGAATGCCTACGAAAGTAGTTTTGTGTTTAGTTTTTATTTTTGTGATGTTTTAAACTCCTTAGCATTTTAATATGAGCTTCTATTGGATTGAGTTATATTGCATAGGTTTTTCAAATTTGGCACAAAAATTGGATCATTGTCTTTTGAGTATTTAGGGTTTTGGTTCTTGATTAAATAAGATTAGGTGTTAGTTGAGTCTAGGATTAGTTTGGTTTTTTTTTTTTGCTAAAGAAAAAAGAAACAAAAAGGTAGAAAATAGGAATTTTTCAAAAAATCTGGAGTTCTACCAGTAGTTTGTGTAGGTTATATCAGTAGGTGCTAGAACAGAGGGTCATTCTACCGGTAGATCGTGCATCACCTACCGGTATGTTGTGAATCTAAGGTGTTAAATAAGGGGTTTTTTGGGAATTTCAAGGGTTTTCTTCACTCTTTCAATATAAATACTCCTCTTTCTTTCTAGAAAACCTTAGATAAACTTTTCCAAGTCCTTAGCTTCCTCAAATTCCTCCAATTTCACTTTAATTCTCTTCTTGATCTTAAATTTCAGAATGTCTCCTAAGAAAATTTTGTACCAAATCAACTTCTCTTACGAAATCTATGGGCCTATTCTACTAGCTTGGGTCCTTGATGTTGCCATAGTTTCTACAAAGATGGTAAGTACAAGGGCAAGTTGGAGGATAACCCCCGAACAAAGCCCTAGAGGCTGTTGCTCGTTTGAGGCAGGCAATGGCTAAGGATAAGGACAAGAGGAAGAGGGGGGAGTCAGATGATGAAGATAAAAAAGGATGTACCTACTATGCTTAAGAAGATTTTACCTTTGAACCCTTGGGATGCAAGCTTTTTCCTTGGCTCCTTTATGCCTCTGTACACTCAAAGGTGATGGAAATTATGAAAGGAACGAGGGATGCTTTGGCTAAGGCTACCAATTCTAAAGGGAAAGATTTGGCCGTGTGAAAGAGTTTTGAGAAGCTAGTAATTATCTCTGATTCTGAGAAGGAGAATGATGTTTATGGGCCGGTTGGAGACGAAGCTTAATTTGGGGGATGCTTCTACTTTTGAATCAAAATAATAGAATTTAGAAGTTACTTTTTTTTTTTT